TTAAGCAGTAAGTTTTCTTCATCAAACCTTTAGATCCGCTGCGCATAGGTTTATGTTGAATGTTTGTCCGTGATTTGTGCATATCGAGATCCTCATGGGTTCCAACAGGGGATGCACTGGCTCTCTTGGGACAAGCTTGTTGTTCCTAAAAGTGAGGGTGGGTTGGGATTCAAAGACCTGAAATTGTTCAACAAGGCCCTGATCTTAAAACAATTGTGGAGACTCATTGAACAGCCTGACCTTCTTATGAGTAGAATTTTGAGGCACAAATATTTTAATGACTGCTCAATATTTGAATGGCAAAACACAGGGGGTGCTTCCTGGTTGTGGTCATCTTGGGCATCTTTTCTACCTGTGTTGCAGAAGTTTACTAGGATTACTATTAGAGATGGGCAGTCCACTAGATTGAATGACTCTAACTGGGTGTCTGGGCATCATAGTGTGAAGCCTGAACTCAGAGTGGGAGTGGATGGGAATCTCTTCAAGGTGAAAGTCCTGCTCTTGGCTGGGGGAGTTCAGTGGGATAGTACTCTAGTTAGAGCCTTGTTTGCTCCTGAGGTAGCTGAGAAAATTCTGCAGATTAAATCTCTTAATCCCAGGGTGTCTGATCAAAGGCAATGTGAACTGTTGGTTAAGGGGAAATTATCTGTCAAACAGACTTATGCTGAACTGCTTGCTAGCACATTGATCTCAAGGTCTGCGGCTGATAGCAGTGCTTTAGCCGGAGGAAACAGCAATGCTAGAAGAAGATGTTGGAATCTTAAGGTTATGGGCAAAGTGAAGCATATGATCTGGAGAGCCTTCTCTAATATCCTCCCTGTTAGCACAAACCTGCAGCGGAGAGGTATTTTGGTGGAGGATGTTTGTGGAGTGTGTGGGGAGGAGACAAAATTAATCCCAGGAGCATGTTCTTTTCTTTTGCAGGAAAGCAATGAGAGTGTAGCAGCTTGCTCCTGTCCAATGGAATAGAGTGCTGGCAGAAAAGTTGACATTTAAGCAATGGTGGTGGTGGATTAGCACAATGAAGAATGATGACATATCTGAGGACATGATCCAGCTCTTCACCTACATCCAATGGTGGCTCTGGAGAGCTCAGAATTTGTGGGTATTTGAGGGACAATGGCAACCGAAGGAGTGGATCATCAAAGCAGCCTTAAGGGATTGGCTTGAGTTCAAAACCAACAACACAAATGAGTGACAACATGGGAAAGGTTAGAGTCTAGGTCTCGAGTCAGTGGGTTGTAATGCTTGTTGGTGTCTGTCTTTGGTGGGTAATGTCTAGTTGGTAGTGTACTTCGGTCCATGTTTTTCTGTTCTTTTTCCCCTGTAACTGGTTGTAGTTTTATTTGTTGTTCTGATCCTTCGGTGGAGTATGTATTGTTGGGTTTATTGTTTCTTTGATATAGACTTGCTTTTAGCATGTCCTCCCAGGTTACCCAGGATTGGGGTATTTTCTGTTTAAACATTGCCCGTGTTTGGGCCGTTTTATTGGAGTTACTTATGTCGCTGGGAAAAAAAAAAGAATTAGCGCTTGCTTGTTTATAGATTAATTTATCCAAAATGAAATAATACAAGAAAGTAAATTAATGACGATTGTTTAAGAAATATTTATGCCTTTTTACTTTTAATAGCGGGCCCACACAATAGCTCATGTCCCCCCTCAATTATTTGAATTATAATATTAAGTTCAAATTGTACCAACCAATTTGACAGAACCTACCCATTTCCTTCGGTATTGAAAAAAATGAAAAATGTCGTCTCCTCAATAAATTTCCCTTCATGTCACATTGAAAAACAATGAGCTCGGCCCCAAATCCATGTCTGCCAAATCCCACATGTTCTTTCGCCGGAGGTTCCGCTGGAGTGGACCGATCTGCACACCGAAAAGACCGGCAGTATGTCGGTGAAGTCGCCCGAAAAAAAAAAACCAAATGGAGAAGAAAGATTTGTCGGTTTTAAGGTGTTCTTGTTAGTACCTTTTTTGTTGATATAATTGATTTTGTCCCTTCATTTACCCAAAACGCGAGTTTGCGTATCTGATTTTGTTTAATTAGAAATGAAAAATCATAATTACAGATTGCATATTCTACTAATTGGAAACTGAAAATTTAATTGCCATGCCATCTGTTGATGTCGAAAATCGGATATCAATTGTTAATAAGATTCGAATTTCTTGTAGGAAATGAAGTGCAAGATGCTTAAAAATGTGTGCGTGTTTCTTTTTATTTCATGAAAGGATTTTCTCCTCTTTTGGATGTTGGGAGGAGAAGAGTGAAGAGAAGACCTTTCTCTCTCTTCATTTGTACATATATATACCCCTCTCCTTTTGCAAGTGGGTAGTTCAATAAGTAAAAAATGGTACATCATTATTTCATGGGAGTAATCATCGCGGGTCCGTTGTTGACTTGTAACGGTTCCAATTGGCGTTTGTCTTCTCGGCAATGGTCGTGTTTTCGAAGGCGGCTTTTTCTTGATATATATGACATCTGATTACTTTGAACTCTGTTCGGTTCGCCAACGGGTGTACTCGCCTTTTGGGGACCCAGTCGGCTTTTAGATGATCAGTCTTGCGTACATGTTTGTGTATTTATTTATCATGTATTTTCGGCTCCTTGGTTATCGGGCTGTATTTTATTATTTCGTTTATTTTAATTAATCGGAGCGGAGCCAAATTGGGTATCAACACCGTCTATTATGATTGTTGCTCCAAAATTGCCTAACTTGGTTATTTTATTTTATTTCGTTTTTTTGTCAAATGATGTGGTCAGGTCTGCTGCGTTGATGTAGTTTTTCGTAAGGAGTGAAATACATGATTTGTAGTCTAGTGCTGGTATCTCGTTGAACTTGATTTGTATGGGGTGAAATGCCTGATTTGTATTCTGATACTGGTGTCGTGCAAAATTTTTATTGTATGGTGTCCTTTTTGTGATTTATATTTGAGTTGTGGTCATGTTACACTCTAATGTTTACATGTAAACAATACAATCTCGGAGGTGTATCTCGTGAAAAATTGTAGATGTTGACATCAGTTG